CCTCGCAGACACAGCTCGCTTTCCATGATGGTCTTTGTTCATCCTACAGCCCTCTTGTTTTAGGACTGTGACAAGCTGGTTTAGATTCGTAGCCCTTCTTTGCATCACCCATTTTTTAACAGATGAAATTCATCCTGAAAAGGAGGAGCCAATCACTCTGAAATCTCTTTGCTCTGTTAAAGTCAAGCAATGTCCATACTTCAGAAACTGTCCCCTAGGCAGTCACTGATTGAACCCTTCTGGCAGCCCCACCAGAGAGGACAAGGCTTGAATTGGTGTTGGAACAGCCTTGCATAATCAGCTACTTCAGTTCATACCTGTGACCTGGCAGGGATGGCTGTTGACTGTGTCTGCGGATGTTAAGAATTCCAGCTTCCAGGGCTGCCGGGCTGGTACCTTTGGAGCCCGCAGATACAGCATGTGCTCTGAAAGGGAGGAGACCAGAATGAAGCATGTAACTGGTGCAGATGGTGACTCTCAAAACCTTTGAATCCAGGTGTTGGTACAGTCATAGGTTCTTTGAATTCTACATCTCACAACTAGAATCTTGTGTTATGTGACCTTTGTGTTGCTTTGTGGAGGGCACAAGCTCTCTCTTCCAGATTAAGCAGAGCATTAACTAGAGCAGATCTGAAAATTTCTCACCATTTTTTTTTGCCTAGAAAAAGTGAGCTCATGAGATGAGAAATGTGTCAGTATCAAAGCCAAAAGGCAGATAAATAGAGAGAGAGAGGGAGAGAAAGAAAAGATGAGACAAGGCCCCAACAAAAACCAGATAAACACAAACGAAACTTGTTTAGGGGGGAAAAAATGAGGAATGCATTTCACTGTGGTCAAAATATTCCATGTGGATACCTGCAGAATGAATGTTTTGATTTTATGTTGTAAAACAGCGTTCAGAATTGTTTCTATTTTACATTATAAAAAATATGAACAAATTAAATGTCAAAATTAAAATGAGGCATTTTACAATGACAGAAATGAAATGTTTCATAGAATTATAGAATAATAGAAAACAAGAGTTGAAGGGACCTCGGGCAGTCATCTAGTCCAACCCCCTGCTCCAAGCAGGGCCATCCCCAACTAGACCATTTCAGACAAGGTGTGTCTAGTGGAGTCTTAAAAACCTCCAAGGATGGAGACTCCATAACCTCTCTGGGTAGCCTGTTCCAGTATTTTACTACCCTTCTGTCTTTACTACCCTCCTGGTTTCAGTGAAAGCTAAAAGATTTTCCCACCTTAGAATTTCATTCTATGGGAAAATTCAAGCATACCTTGTTTTTGATTGGAAACAAATTTAATTTTCCCACAAACTAAAAATTCTAGTTCCCACCCAGCTCTATGGCTCATGATTTCTGCCTCCAATCCCTGAGGTGCTGCTGAAAACAGACAACTCCAGGGATGATGGACTGTAGTTGAGTCACACACTCCCATTAAACTTGCCCTGCAGAAAGCCTGGGTGTCCCCAGCTTGGAGAGCGGGAGTGGGAAATTGCTTTTCCATTTGTCACTTGCTCAGAGAATAATTGAGGAGATGGATGTAAAATAAACAATCTGGACAGTGTGTCTAGAATTGCTGCAAGGTTACCTATGCATTGCTGCTTGCCTCATTGAGACAGCACCAGACAGTGCCTGGAGACAGCAGCAATGGGAGATGTGGGACTTGACTTTGTGGAGAAGGAGTGAAGACAGGAAGGGGGAATGGGGTGCAGGGGTGAGGAGAGGAGAGGAGAGGGAGCTGGCGTTTTTCCAATAGGCTTGCCTGCCTCTCCCTCAAGGTTAAACCATCCCAAGGATGGGATTTTATACTGGGAGCACCTCAGCCTGTGCCTGGGGTGAAAGATCCCTTGGCACCTCCTGAGAGGAGTGAAATCTCCTCGGGTAGCAAACCAGGAAGACCTCCCCACTCAGCAGGACCTGCCTCCAGGGTGAATGAACTTCATGAGCAAGGGGTTGACTCAGAAATGACCTTACCACTGACCTTGGACAAGTCTCGGCGCCACACTTTTAATATGAGGATGATAATATACTCTCTCTAGTTGTTAAAATGCAGTAATGCCCCCACTCCCATGGACTTCAGTGGGTCTTGGCCATGGTGCCATATCCTGCTGCCCTTTGCTCTGGAGCTAAAAAGTGAGCCAGCCCCCTGCCTCCAGGAGCTAAGGTGGTGGTAGCTCTGAGGCATTACACGGCAGTCTGAGGTCTCATTAGAAGCTGCACTAGCAGTATGAGGTGCTGGCATTAGGAGGAGACAGCATCATCACACTACAGCCTTTCAGGAATGGTTCAGGCATTGAAGGCTGAATGAAATGAGGGTCCAATCTGGCCAGTTTATCCCTTTCATTTTGCCTTGGCTATCAACCCAGGCCTTGTTTTTTTTCCCTATTGATGAAGAGTCATGCTGTGGTCCTGGCTTTGGTATTTATGGGGTGATTATCCCTCGTTTTCAGGAGCCTCTTGGCAGGAACAGGCCATTTCTCTACCCATCTATCACTGACTATCACCTCTGGTCTGGAACCTGCTCCTTTGATGTCTTTGCTAGTGGGTTGGTGCTTCCTCACAGGCAGCATGCAGGTGTGTGAATAGGGTTCACTATTCCCTACTCACTCACTCCACCCCTCTCTGGGCAAGAGAAACCCTTTTGGGTAACCTGTCCATCCCCTCCTCAACTGTGCTTACAAACACTGTTGGGGCTGCATTCACCTTCCATCTGAAAGAGATCACCACACAGGCAGCAAGTCTCCTGAGAGAGTCCCCTGAGCAAGCAGCAGGACATTGGCTTGGGGGATCGGAGACCAGTGTCCTATACAGACCCTACACACCATTGGGCTGGATGCTGCACAAACACTTGGTAAGGCACAGTCCATGCCCCAATGAGTTTGCAATATAAGTGGACAAAACAAAGGATGGGAGAGAAAATGGAGTCCCAGAGAGATAATTTGGTTATGGTTGCACATAGAGCAGGCTGCTGGGATCAGAACCCTTGTTCTGTTTGGTCACTGGGTGACCTTAAACAAGTTGTTTCTCCTCTAAATACCTCTGTTTCCTGACTGCAACATGTGGAGAATGACACTTTTCCTGCATTGTGAAGTGCTTTGCACCCAAGGCCTGTTTAAGAGCCAGTCTGCTCTGTCCTTAAGTTAAATACACAAGCAGTGTGGTTCCCACTGCCTGCAGAGCACAGACTAATATGTGCTGTGGCTAGGGAGGGCAGAGGAGGCAATGCTGAGAGTGGTATAAAACACTGCAATGGCCATAAACAAACGGGATAGGCCAGCTGGGGCAAAACATCAAGCAGGGAAATGGACTCAGCTGCTTAAATGGACCAACAGTTGGCAAGAGAACAAATTTCTTCTAATAATGATGAGGCTTTCTGGTTCCTTTATGAGCCTGACCCATAACAAGCTTGGGGTTGCTTTGCTTTTTAAGTATGCCTTGAATTTGGCACCATCCCATTCTAAATTCAGGCTGATTTTTATCTCAAGAGTCCTCAGTCCATGCTAGGCAGCTTCTCTCTGTCCCCTGGGTGGTTGTTTGCAGCAAGACACTCCAGCAGTTTTCAGACACTAGCACCAAGTGATTAGTGTCTCTTGTCAATAAGCCTCCAGCAGCCTGAGTCAGCATGTGCCATCCGTGCAGAGCTTGAGCCTGCCTGGGTTGGAGATGCAACATGGGGCCGAGTAAGAGAGGCTTGTGACAGGAGGAAAGATGGAGTGGCTTGGGCATGCAGGGGAGTCAGCCCCTGAAGTTGAGGTGATGGTGGGGTTTGGAGTCACAACTCCCCACCCAATACGGTGCAAACCAGGTGCCCAAGGCAGCCAGAGAAATTTTAGCCTGAATGTTTCTCTTCCAAAGCTAATGATCTGGGCCCTGTGGCTCTTGCTCGGGCAAACTCCAAGAGGCTGCAGTGGGTATTTGAACTGAGCAGGGAAGCCAGAATTTGGTCTACTGACAGTTGACTTTCTCACCCTGGGGCCTAGCTTCAGGAGGACAGCAGGGATAAAGGTGGCTTTGTGACACCTTGCCTCTGCCCATCCCAGAGCTGGCCCAAGCAAACAAGGCCCCAGCCCAGGGACTGCTCTAATTTTTCCCAGGGACAGTGACCCCAGAAACTGTCCCACCCAAAGAACCTTGTCTGCATCCAGCATGAATGCACTTCTTATGCATCCTGTGATGCCACTCAGCCCCCTGGAGCATGCCAAGGTTCAGTCCTTTTCCAGTAACACAGGTCTACAGCATGAATTCCCTGTCTCAGGAAATGAAGCTTTTGGGAGGGAGGGAGAGAAGAAGCAAGGCTTGTCTTATCTGACCCTTCTCAGGGTATAGGGTGAAAAGGGGACTGCTCACTTTGCTGAGTCCATACCAGGGCTGGGTGGCACTGAACCAATGACAGTATAAGCCCCGTGCTTCAGTGACCCTGCTGCAGACCATGGTGCCCCAAAGAGGGTGTGGTGAGGTATACAGTAGGAGAAGCTAATACTGTGGCTCTGCCCTCTACCTGCAGGCCAGTGGAGTGGTGCTGTCCTCCACAGGGGTAGCACTATGTGTCCTTCTGCAGGCCAGGGAGCCCTCTGAGGCCTGGTCTCTGCACAGACAAGGCCAGTGAATGCAACTGAGGGGTAGTGTGCTGCCCTCACTACTCAGACTGAGTTGGGTGCTGCCATACAAGGAAAGTGCAGAGTAGATGTCCAGACTTGGAGATTCAGGCACCCTGTATATCCATAGCTTGTGCCCAGTTCTGTCTGTGTGACTTAACCTCACATTCATTTCCTGTAGGAAATACATCTGCCCTTGACTGCTGTACTTGGACCCCCATCCAGGGGCCTGTGAAGGCCTCAGCCCAGGGAGGTAGTCCTGGATGTGAAGAACTGTAAGAAGCATGGCAGAGAGAGCAGGACACAGAGGCAGCATGGAGGTGGCATCAGCAGTGGAGTGTGTTCCCTTGCATGAGCTCACAGTGAGGCGATGGCACCCCTGACTCTCCCTCTCGCTCCACTCCAGGTACTCCGAAGAGGAGATCCGGCAGAAGGTGGGAACCTTCCGGCAGATGCTGATGGAGAAGGAGGGCGTACTCACCAGGGAGGATCAGCATGGGCGTCAGATGTGAGTATGGAGAGGCTCAAAGGGGCTTTGGTGGCCTGGAGAGGGGAATCTGAATTCCCAGCACACCCCATGGTTTTCTGGCCCATCCTCTATGTCAGAATTTCCCCCTCTCAGGACAGGTCTGGATTGGGATCTCTCCAGTTCCCCTATAACACTGTAGTCTAGTGCTGGTGTAACTCCTAGCTTTCACCCTCCAGTCCACACACTAATCCAAATGCTGTCCCTGCCCTTGCAAAGCCTTACCCAGGCCCTTCACTACCATAATTTAGTGGGTCAGATTCTAATCTCCATGACACTGCCACAAATCTGGAGTAATCCCACTGGCACCTATACAGTTAGGGTCAGATCCTGCACTTACTTAGAGCTGCAGCCACGTACGCCCCGTTCTGCTGGGTATTCAGTGTAACTTCATTCACATCCATATCAGTCTAGAATCACCTCACTAGCGGGTTTTGCACCAGGTTGATTTACATCCAGAGAGACTGCAGTGAGACATGCACACGCATACTCTGGAGCATTTACCCTCCAATTGGTCCCCATGTAACCAAGGTCGAGATCTCTCCCAGCACCATTCCCGTCTTATGAGCAGGTGTTTCATTCCTTCAGGCAAGTGGCATAGCATATACACTGATTGCTTAGCTTCTGACATTGCTGTTCCATGCACAGATCCAGGAATATACCTGTCAGCTCTTGGCTGTGCCCTGGATTGATCATGATTTATCTGTGAAATGCTTAATGGCACAGTGAGCGCAGTCAGCAAAGCACATATAATCTATCAGCCTAGAAACCAGGTCACTTGGGACAGGAATAGATCTAGTAGGTTCACTGAATATTAATGCTTCATTAAGGTCAGGAAATCAGGACATTGGGAAAAATACTGCAGCACTGGGAACATCTTTCCTGCAGACACTTGCAGGGTCCAGCATCACAACCAGAAAGCAGCAACAGGCACAGCTTGGAGTGATCCCATGGCTGAGTCTGACCAAACATCCTGTAGTTTAAGATTGTTCCAGAATACACTGAACATTCACCCTCTCTGAGGGCTACTTCATGGCCAAGGGACTCATAGTGGAAGGATTTAGTGGCAAAATACAGGCATAGTCAGTGGGGTCTTGATATCAAGAACCAGTAAACAGTGGAATATTGCACCAGATGTAGAAAGTGAATAGAAAGATATTGGCTTGCTTGGAGATCATCAGAGTCCTAAATCCCAGGGGTCTGATCCCAGCCTTCCTTCTCCACCCCCAAGCATCCAGTATTCCCTATTCCTGAATACCTGAGCAAGAGGAAGGGAGGAAACCAAGCTAAAATTAACCCCTTGTTCACCAGCGGCTTGATAACATACGTGTTTGGCAGATGCAACTGCAAGTTTGCAGAACTTGGGTTTAAGGAATGAGGTTGAGGGTGGGGAGGGGACAGAGTCTCAGCTTCTATAGATTGGCATCACTCCTGGGCTCCTAATCGTAACCTAGCTCCAGCATGTATATTAGATGGGTTGAAGGGCCTCCCTTTGAGAGCAGAAGAGCTAATTCCAGACTTGGAGACATTACCATGAGTTACAAGGGCTGGGAGATTTATATGGTGCATTTTCTAGGCAATGGAGCTGTCTGGCAGCCATTCAGGGTCCTATAATTTTTTCCAGTTGCTGTGCTTCTTTCTCTAAGTTCACTTGAACAATGGATCTTAATTTTAGGCCAATTTTCTTGGGAAATGCCAGGCAGCGGAATCGGTGGCAAGCACAGGTTAGTCTTTAAGTCATAAAACAGCAATCTAATGCATCATGCACCAGCTACCACTGAGTTACCAAGTGTCTTGAAACTGAGTGTCACATACAAAAGCAGGGGTTAAAAGGTGTACTCCCTTTCTGGTGAATTCTCTTTCTGGCTACAATAAGGAGATGGAGAGTTAGTCATCCCTGCCCCTTCCACATTGATATACTGGCTAACTATCTGTTTCCGGTGCAGAGATTGGTTATTAACTACATTCATGTATTACCTGGGAGACCTGGTGCAGGACCAGGTTCCCATTGTGCTGCTGCTGTACAGATACCAAGCAAAAGGATAGTCCTTGTCCTAATTTATGGTGATGTTTATTGGTAAAGCAGTGGTGTGGCAGCAGTACCTGCAATCACAGTCCTGGACTCCGCTGTGCTCAGCACTGGGAAAACACATCACAGGAAGATGGTCACCCCTGGGCCACATCTGGGAATCAGTGGGAATTGTTGAACTGGGAAGGGGGCCGTTCTTCTTTCTATCTAATGAATTCGAAGATGATCAGGCCAGTCTGAATAAACTGCCAGGATAACAATCAGCCTCGGCACTTCTGGGCCATGGTGGGTCCTCAAAGCACTTTAAAAAGCAATAAAAGGCCTATCCAGACCCCCGCTAACCAGAATGTGAGTGGATTTCCACACAGAGAAAGAAATTCTCCCATCAGGTCATGAAGCCGCAGCAGAGCAATTGCTGGATCCCCACCTAGCATTAGACCAGGACCCCACTGCTCTTCTGACTATGCCCTTCACTCCATCTAGTGCCCTGATGTGCTGCAGGCTTCAGAAGATGCACTTTACTGATGCATGTGGTGCTGAAATCTTTCTCACTGTTACCACATGTATTTTTCCCCCCATCCAAACCTCCCAGGCATAACAGGAGAAGACACACCTCCCAGGCAGAAGGATACAAAGGGACTTGCCCAGGGTGACAAAGCAAGTTAGTCAGAGCTGGGGTAAGAACCACAATAGTTCCCAGGTCCTGATCCTCTGCCTAGGGCACTTGAAATACTAATTCTCAGTATGAGATGGGGCTGATTATACTGCTCTCCTTGCAAAGTGACCATGTATGAGAAGGACTGGATGGATCATGCTGATTCATGAAACATCTGTTTTGTTTGGCAGGTCGAACTGTACCTGGGCCCCTCAGTGTAGGATTCACCCCTCCTTTCTCTGCTTCATGTTCAAACTTTGCTGCCAAGTACTTTAAATCACTTTTTGGCTGTGGATAGTGCTTTTTAGATGTATCCTAGTGGGTGGTAGGAGAGGCAGAGGATGCTACTGACCCAGGAACCAGCTGTGCTTTTTCTAGCTGTGGCCGTCTATATTGTGCTGTGCAATCTGAAAGTCAAGCCACATTCTTCACACTGGACACCCAAGCTTTAGTGGACTTCCACCTTAATCTGTCTGTGCCTCAGTTCCTCATTGTACCCCCCACCCTCCAGGACCCTACCCATCACACGGACACGCTATGAAATCAAATTCATTGGTGTCTCAAAAGCATTCAGACATTATCATGAGTACTGCCCCAGGAAAAGTCTATAAAGGCCTTAATTCCTCTGTCCTCAAAGCAGAGTTTGAATTGTGTGCAGTAGATAAGACCTGGGGATACACTGCAAGTGGCAAGGAGCAAGCAGGATGCTGAATTGCATCTTAAGTGAACATCATGAACTGAATGAAGTAGGGATCCCCTGGAAAATAATGGCATGCAATCAGCTAATTAAAGATGGTGTCATTATGCATAGGCACAAAGTAGGTGGGTGAATGAAGGCATCTTTAATTGTGCCTAACTTTGGAATCCTCAGCATTGAAATCTTGGTGCTATGCTTTTACCGTAGCCTGTCAGTGTGAGGGGCATAATAACAGTGCCTTGCTCTTTGTCTCCAAAGCAAGGAAGTCAGTGTCATTCAGTTTTGAGGCATGGAAGGGTAGGTGACTTGTTCATGGTCATTCAGCAGGCCACTGGCAGCTCCAGGAGTATAGTCCATGCTATACTCTGAAGTCTCAGCCCCACCATACGATGCTGCCTTTCAGTGTCCTTACCCCCACACACTTCCCTGGACCTATCCAGCCTTAAAACACAGCACAGTTACCAAGGGAGCAAGCCTCCCTCTCCTCTCCTAATGGGCCTCCTGGCAGTACTGAAAAATTATAATGCGGGGTTCAGGGAGAAAAAAGAAACAGATAATCCAGGCAATGAAACCAGGCCCTGAGCAGCTGAGTCAGAGCTAATGGAAGAAAAGCCTCTGATGGGACTATTTTAATAACAGGCTCTGGAAGGGAACACATTCCCTGTGAGCTGTCCACCGTTCTGAATTTTATCTTTCAGGCCAAGCAACACGTTGACAAAATCCAACAAGTAATTATATTTATTTACTCTGTATTTTTTTAACTATAGAGGCATTCCCTGACCTCCACACATGGGTGGGCAGGAGTCATTTTGAAATGACACAAAACCCAATCACCTAGAAACATGCCATAGGAAAATTGAAGCCAGATAACCTAAGAAAAGTATTTCTAATACTGGCTGCCTCCCCCGTTTCTCTCTCTTTCTCTCTCTCTCTCTCTCTCTCTCTCACACACACACACACACACACACACACTCACTCACTGACAGCTGGCAGAGCCTTCTGGGAGGAATGATAATTTGCAGTAAAGAGGAGGATGTCTCACTTGTATTTTGGGTCCAAAACACCCTGGTTTTTCACTCTGTTCAAACAGGCAATTATTCACTTGGCTCTTAATTGGGTTAAACTCCACGAGTGACAGAGATTCATTTGTGCTGAGAGATGCTGGCGGTTGTCACTCCCCATTAAATGCCTTCTGAGGGGAAGCCAGCACAAAAGCAGGCTCTTCTAGAAAAGCATTCATTGGTCTTAATGGAAGTCACCCACAAGAATAAACCCAAGTGGAGGCCCTGCTTATGGCCTGAACAGGGCCAGCTTTGTTACATGCAGCATCCACAGGAAGGGGTTGTGACAGGGGCTGCCATGTTTTATGCAGCTCTGGCAAAGCTTTCCACAGGCTTGGGATTAGGGCCAATGCTCAGGGCCAGGTTCTGCTATTGGTGTCAATCATGAGTGGGTAGAAGCACTACTAGGGAGGAACAGGGAAGGGAACATCAGGTCCACATGAAGCATTTGCCCAGTAAAACCTGTCTCAGACCCTGGCATAGACACACCACATCCGAGCAGAGCCATCTTAACCCCTGTAGGCCCCAGATGAAATAATTCCCATCCATGCTACATACTGTACACAAAGTGAGACAGCTCTTGCTCCAAAGAGCTTGCAGTTTGAACATGTGCAAGGTAGCCCAAGGGTGGGAGAATGGGAGCATCATCCTCTCCATATTAGATATGGGGAACTGAGGCACACAGATTAAAGGCCAGGCTTTCAGAAGTGCCCTTCTCCTGCGTTCTTCTCAGAATGCCTCTGCTCCTGAAAACCTACCCACTTATGTAGGTGCCTAGGAGAAGAACCTATGGGCAGACCTCTTTGGCATCCTTAGCTCTAAATGACTTGCCTAAGGCCACCCAAGGAGTCAGTAGCAGAGCTTAGAATGGCACCAAGCTTCCCTGTAGCTGAGTCCAGTGCCTTAAGCCCAAGATCATCCTCCTGCTCTGTGGTCCAGCCTGTAATGCAGAAGCACTCAACTCATTGCTCCAGGGGTCCCACTGAAGCCTGTGAGTTTGTTCCAGGAGCAAGAACTACTCAAAGTAATAGAGGGAGTCTCACAGTCCCAGAGTCAGTGCCTCCCTGCTGAATGATCTACAGATGCAAGAACAGAGACTGGGTGCCTAAGAATTCATCCCTTCACATTCCCAAGCAATTCTCTGAGCAGGGAACATTTGAGTCCAGTGCCAAAGGGCCTGCAAAAGACACCACACATCAATGAAATGAAAATGCTGCTCATTTCTGAGTTGCAGTTGCCTGATGTGGAAGGCAGCCAGCCAGCCTGTTTCATGTCTTGAAGATGGGGCACAGCTGAGGAACATTTTGTTTTTAATCTTTGATGTTTCACCACTGCCATGCAGCCTCAAAAAAAACCCATGGCCGAGCCTTTGCAACTGAAAACTCTCATTTGCTTTTGCATCTCATCATCCAAAAATACTCCCTCCTTTAGAGCCAGATGAAAAGGAAATAAATGCTGTTACTTCCCCCTTTGAATTTGGAGGTTCATTTAAAGTTTTCAGCTCCTTCCCAAGGAGAGGGAGGATTGAAGTAGAACAGAGATGAGGGGATTTAGCTGGGAGGGGGTGGGGAAATGTAGGCAGCTGAGAGAGGGGGAGGAAATGGTAGGAAAGTAGAAACTAGTGGAAGCAACAGGAGGTGAGTTTACTTTGAGGAAGCAGGAAGAGCAACGGGTCAGAGAGGCTAGATAGAGCAGAGGAGGAATCTTGAGTGGCCAGGGGGAGCTGAGGGAATGGGAGAGGGACAGTGAGGACTGATGGTGCCTGGATGTCAAAGCAACCCACAAAGTCTAGAGTCCAGCAGAGCTGAGTGAAGCATAAAGGACCCTCTCTACCAGACTCAGGCCCAAGTTGGAGGCCAGATAAGGTTTTGGAGCTGACAGAATGAGGTTTTTGGTGAAGCATATGATCCTATCTTGTAGCGATAAATGATAGATAGGCTGGGGTCCCAGGATCTTGCTGAGGCAGTGGGAGGGGGGCTCCCTGGTCAAGGGAGCATCCTGGTCCACTTCAAGCTCTTCCTAGCAAGGAAGTTGAAGGATAGTTTATAAGCTGGGGCCTGTCTTACTGGCATTGTAGCCAAAGGGTTTGAAGGGAGCAAGACTGACTAGCTCATATGTTCTCCATCCTGTTGAGCACATCTGCAGCATGTGTCCCTGCAGGGCAACAGTGAGAAGGATCTGTAGAGCAGAAAGGTCCTTGGTCTAGAGCAGTGATGCTCAACCTTAAAATCAGAAATGGGCTGAGGACCACATAGAAAGGCATTTTGCTTCTACATCTTGGTATATCCTAAATGTAAGTATTTTCAGTACTATGAGAAAGGAAAACATACAGTTTTAGTCATTTTAGATCATTCATGTGAAGTCCAAAGTCCAGTATACTATAGTGCTATTTTACATTTTATAAAAATAAATAAACTTTAAAATAAAAAAGTGCCCTGTGCAGCAGCAGGGATTGAGATGATGAGCCACTAGCTTGCATTAGCCCGCAAGAAGTGGGTTGGCTTCCAGGTGCTTAGTTTTGGTGGGGGATGTGGGGCCTCAGGCCTGTGGGAGAGGACAGACTGCCCAGATGGCAGCACTGTACCTTACCTCAGCTCCCTACCTTGCCAGTGCCCTACCAGTGTCTCCTGAAGGGGAGCTGTGCACTTTGGGAATGTGGTGACAGTGGGACCCCACTCTGCCCAAGAGCAGTGGGGCTTTCTCTGAAAGAATGGCCTGCTGTTTGTAGGTGCTGTAGGCAGCCCAGTGCTGTGACAGAGCCCCGTGGGCATGCGGGTATGGGACCACCAAGGCTAGGTCTTCAGTGCCTTTCCCTTTCCATCTGCCAGAGTTTTTACAGGGATGTGGCACTAAGAAGCAGAGCATGGAGGCTATTTACTTCCCTTCCCCTTCAGCTGAATTCAGCAGGAGGAAGTGGGGGATGAGAGCGGCAGCAGCATTCACATGGACTGACATGCTGGTGACAGGCCATTCACACTGGCTTTGCAGGGCATATCTGGTGCACACAGGCTGGAGGTTGAGCACCACTGAAATAGAACCATCCCCAGTCCCAAGACACTGTGTCATGGGTCAGGCTCAGCACTTATTAAGAAGAGCCATTAAAACTGGGGTTGTCAATGAGTCTGGATCACGTGCAGGGAGGGTGGAAGCCGCTGAGATGCACGGGGGCAGGGCATAGAGGTGAGGTTGGCAAGCTACATAGCACCTCCTCATGACTGCAAGGCCTCAGCAGTAGGGCCTGGGATCCACACTGCAGCAGTGTCAGCCAGGCCATCCAGGGCATCACCAAAGCAGAGACAAGGAGCCGTCCTCCAGTGCAGTCCCTAGTCCAGCTCCCTCTGTGCTGGGGACTGCTGTGCCTTGCAGCAGCATGGCATGGCCTTAGGGTTTGCTTGAGGCCTCTCTCAAATGCCTTGGGGCCCCTCTGCATTTTTCCCAGCACTAACTCAGCTGTAACGTCATTCCTTCCCCGACCTTCACGGAAGCGAGGTAGGCTAATGGCCCTATCCTCAGTGCGATCTCAGGAGAAGCCACCTGCCCTCGCAGTTTGTCCACCTGGGTGGGGCTCTGTGTGGGATCTCCACAAAGCAGAGCCTAGATCCAGGTCACCTCAGAGCAGCAAGAGAGAGCAGAGATCCAGCCTCAGTCAGTCCATGGCAACCCAGCCATGCAGACCAGCTCAAGCTGTCAGGCCTCAGGCTCCAGTGCCCTGCACAAAATTGCTGCTCCCCATTACCATTCTGGCATTTTCCCTCACCTCCACCCCCCATGCATTTGGCCTCTTGGTGCCTCTCCCTGCAGTCTAGAGTGCATATACCACTTTGTGAGGAAGTGAAAAGCTGCCAGGCAAGTGACTGAATGGAGATGCAGGGGTGGGTTTCAGCTGCATCCATGATCTGCTTTGCCCACACTGGGTGCCTGGGTGCAGGACTGGCTCCTGCCAGCCACACTGGCTGCTTGCTCCAGTAGGAGGTCTCCAAGCATGGATGGGATTGCTACCCATGGGGGTCTCCAGCTCCCAGATTAGCAGCAGCTCCTCATGACAGTCGCCCTCTTTAAATCTTGCCACCTTCAAGGCTGGCTTGCTGCAGCAGCCTGGAGGAAGGCATGTGCCAATGAATAATTCATGGGTAATTAGCAGTCATTTATTAATGAAGCTTAGGGCCTGCCTGCACTGCAGCTCAAGGGAAACAACAGGGCAAGAGCATGAAGTCAGCAGAGGCTGATGTGTTTTGCTGATGCGTAGCAAACAGTGTGGTTCAGATCAGAGACATGCTGGGCCAGGGACAGTCCTGTGGCTGGCAGTGGCTTCTGAGGTAGGAGATCTGGGTGCAGGGCTCCGCATTGCCAACAACCCTCTGTAGGAGCTGGCACATGTCACTCAAGGCCTGGCTGGGCTGCTGTGACTGTTGTGGAGTTCAGCCAGGCCTGAGCCAGCCTGGGTGTTGGGACCAGGCCAGGGGCTGTACTCAACCCTGGTACAGCTGCAGAACCCACCTGAGAAGCTGCTGCGAGAGTGCTGAGCCCACACTGTTTTCTGGCTGCTAGCTAGGCTCTGTCCATGCCACACTGCAGGGTTAGCCTTCCCATGGCTGTCTGTGCCTCAGTTTCCCACCTTGACAAGGGGGAGGTAGTACCCCTGCCATACCTCACAGACAGGTGTGAAGGAGGAGTTCATCTGAGGTGCTCCCTCACTATATAGGGACCACCTAAGGAGGGTCAGTCTGTCTGTCTCCCCAAGCTCCCCTGCTACTGGCCCCCTATAACACATACGTATGCCGGTCATCCAGATGAGTCACAAATCTCAGCAGCTCCCTTGATATCTACCTCCTCTCACAAGCCCGGAGTCTTAGTCCCAGATTTACCCCTCAGTCCCTGGGCAAGTCTGTAGCCCAGGTTCCCCACATGTGGCAGGCAGGCAGTGAGCAGGGCTGCACCTTTGGAAAGTGCTCAGTGTTACCCACTCCTCTCCCTCCCTCTCCTGCTGCTCCCAAAACCTGGGAGGGAAGCACGCCCCAAAGGCTGGCCTACTGGAGGCCCCTGGGCCCAAAGGAGGAACCAGCAAGTTTTTTCCCAGTCTCAGCAGAAGCCTGAATTCACCACCAGGCCTGAAAATCAATAGAGGAGTTTGCTGATTGCTATTGACGCTCAAAGACATGGCCCCTGCATTCTGCCTTTAGCCCTTTGCTGGGGAGCCAGTCCCAGGGCATCTTGTCCCACCCCAGCTCTCTGGCATCCCCAGGTGGGCCAAACAGGATGTGCAGTCCATGCTGCCTCTTCCCCAGGCCAGCCCATTCACAAGCTGGTGGGAACGGGAGTCTGGAGCAGCACTGCAGAGTCTGGGGACCAAGCAATGACTGTTTTGTGATCAGTGACAAGCAAATAGCCTTGGGTTGACTGAGTTGTGTCTTCTTCCTTGGCCAGAGTGATAGAAAACCACCATATGGTGGATGGAGAGGAGTATGCCATGGAGTACCCTGAGTACGGAGAGGGCTGCCCGCTGCAGTGTGACTGTTCAGCTGACTGCTACCGAGATGACAGCAGCCACAGAGAATACAGGTATGTGGCCGGGGCGCTTTGAGTGTCAGGGCATTGGCATCAGACCACCCACATCATAGCACAGGCATGCCACACAAACAGGACACTGGGTACTGGCTCATTCCTATTACAGTACCTCCCCCAGCATTTGCAGCTCACCAGCCCAAGAACCAGGCATCCCCAAGCTGGGGGCCAGGCAGTGAGCTGTGCCCAGCCAGGGGCTCAGCAGACATTCACTGTAGGAAAGGCACAAGAGGCCTGGCTTTGCAAACATTGTGAGCTGTGACCATGTGGCAAATTCTACAGACAAAGAGATGTCTAAGAGACATGCAGGCAGCTGCATGTGAATCATGGGAGCTAGCAAGTATGTACCTGGGCTGGGCATCGGAGTATGAGAACTGCATGTGCAAACAGACCTGCCACTGCGTAGATATTTAGCATGTACAGTACAGGAGACCCAGGATCATCTGCACTCCCATGGGGGTTCACACCCCACCTCATTCACAGCAGCTGCTGATTAAGGGATGAGCCACGCAGCTGTCTACTGCAGCTTTTACTTCAAACTCCTCTAGCCCACTGGAGTGCAGCCATTGTCCAGGCAGCAATTTGTTATCCTGTGTATACCCCGGTTAGTTCAAAAACCCTCCTTATTGCTGCAAGGTCAGGAACTGAGTCTCCCTGCCCTACCCTTACCTGGAGCCCCAGGCACATGGGCTCACCTACCCCCTTCCTCCCTTCCTCCAACTCAGGTTTGTTCCTCATGATAAATGGTTTCATTTCCAAGCAACAGCATTCTCCCTATCTTCCTTATGAGCTTCCTGCCCTCTCCCCCAGCCTAACCCCTCTCTGCATTAAGAAGCTGTTTCTGGTATTTAGCATAGCTCTTCACCCTCATCTCATTGCTCCTGGTGCTCTAGTCCTGGCCACTGCCCTCTCCTTCCTCCTTGTTTACAGCCTTCAAATGCTGGTTGACGGTTATGTCCACATTTGTCACCACTTAAGCAAGGCCCACTGAGGGAGCTCTGTCCCCCTGAGTCAATCCTTCTAGCCTGCAATCCGGTTTTCTTGTTCCTGTCCTTTGAACTTCTGCCGATTTGTCTACCGCTTGCTGGCATTCAGGTGCCTGAAACTAAAGGGAATCAGGAGACAGGGGAAAAATAAATAAAACTAAAGCCAGAGCTTTGAAATGAAACAAAATGCAAATTTCAAAGCTACAGCCTGTGATGGAAGCTCTAAAGGAGCTCTCCCCCCTGGACAGAATGTGTCTGCTTGTGGCGGGCTTTCTACAGCACTGGCCAGTGCCACCTACCTGATTCCAACAGAGCTGGTAATGCCCAAGTAACCAAATTACCCATTGGGAACTGGCAGGTTGTTCATGTCCTGGGGGCCAGCTGCTAAAAGAACCTCTAAATTAGACACTCTTCTTCTTTGATTCATGTCCCAGATTCATGTGAGTTTGTGTCTCAGACGAGGTTTCATTTTTAACAGGCCAATGGCTGCAAATTTGCCAACACTACCGATGCACTGCAAATCTGAGCCTTTTGGTACAAAGCCGCAAACCCAGACAGTCACAGCAAGCTGACCACTAGACTGTAGGCAAAAGA